GAAGAGGAACACAGATAAATTTTGCAAGGTAATGTCTGCCCTGATCTAGATAGCCCCAGGCTAGCCCAACCTTGTCAGATCTCAGCAGTTAAGCGGGTCTACCCTGGTTAGTACTTGGATGGGAGACCTCGAAGGAATACCAGGGTGACCACTAGGGTTGCCAGGTCCTCTCGTCTTGCTGGTGGGGGGATTTGGGGGGCGTTCCAGGACATCACTGATGTAATGACATCTTTCAGAAGTGATATCATGTTGAGGATGTCACACGGCGATGCTCTGGTTTGATGGCAAAACTCTATAGTAAAACTGGCCTCAACCCATAGAGCTGTTTGGGGTGGGGTTTCCCCCACCGGCCAGCTGGCCAGCAGTGGGAAAAGCCCCCAAATGCTGATTTTAAGTATGCTACTTTAATGACAGAATCAGGGCCGGCTCACCCACTAGGCGAACTAGGCATTCGCCTAGAGCTCTGGGCCCTGGATGGGGCGGCAGGCCCTGGATGGGGCGCTGAGCTGTGCCCCCCTGCCAAAAGCCCATGAGCAGCTCTCCAAATGTCAGCACTTCACTAATAGGGGAGAGGCATCCGGCGAGCATCCCCTGGCCAGAGACAGGATCCCCCCCCCCAACTGCCTTCAGAAGCGGAGCATGAGAGAAATCTCTCTTCCGTCTTGGAGGGCGCTGCAGGAACATGCAGGGAGCGCTCGCTGGGTCGGACAGCCGCCAGGTCCTAGCGCCCCTGAAGACAGGATACTCCCCTCACCTCCCTCCCAGACTGCCTTCGGAAGCGCGAGAGAAATCTCTCTTCCGTCTCGGAGGGCGCCACAGGAACATGCGGGGTGCTTGCTGGGTCCGACAGCCTCCAGGTCCTAGTGCCGCCCTCCTGCCCCCAGACTCTGCAGCAAAGTTTATGTAAGTGGTGCTTGCCACTTGCAAAGGCCGGGGGGGGGGGGCTCGTGTGCCTCTTCTTCTTCTTCTTCCCTCACCCTCTGAGGAGGAGGCCAGGGGCCACAGGGGCGGAGGAGCGGGTCCTGCCGCGGGCTTGGCCGGAGAGAGGCACGCCTCCCTCCCTCCTCCCCTCCTTCGGTGGTCGCAGCGGCAGGGGGGAGGAGGTGGTGGCGGCGGCAGCAGCAAAAGGGTGGCTGGCTCTAGAGGTCTCCAGGTTTCCAGGCCCCACCGGGAGGTTGGCATCTGCGCCACAAGGCAGCCTTGCCTAGGGCACAGAAACACCTCGAGCCGGCCCTGGACAGAATGACGTATCAAATTAATTGTATGGAATATGTTTCAAGCAATATATACTTGTATGTATGGTATTTTTACTGTCCATGGGGTTTTCTTGGCAAAGATACTGGAGTGGGTTGCCATTTCCCTCTCCAGTGGATCACACTTGGTCTGAGTTCTCTGCTGTGGCCTGTCCATCCTGGGTGGCCATCCACGGCATAGCCCACAGCCTCATCGAACCACGCAAGCCCCCCGCCACATCAAGGCAGTGTTCCATGAGGGTTTTTCAAACTCTGAAGCATGACGGAAGACAGGAGAGCCTGGTGTGATGTGGTCCATGGGGTAGTGAAGAGTCCGACTCGACTATGCAACTGAACAACAAAATGGTATTTTTGCCTGCCTTTCCCCTCACAGGGACTCAGAGGTGGGATACCATAGCCATTAAAATAATGAACAACACAACTTGATCAGAGCTGAAATAGAATTTTTTAAAAAAGGTATGAGTGGGCTTAGTCTTTTGCTGTAGAACCACCATTTTAATGCTGTAGGAGAAAGGTCTCCAAATGTTTTGAGGCTGCAGATACGTTTGGAATTTTGACATGGCATAGTGGGCGCAGCAACAAAATGGCTGCCACAAAATGGGTGCTGCAGGAGGCAGAGCCAGCCAGAAAATGATTACCACAGCTTAATTTCAGTAACACAGTGCATATCTTTCTGTTGTGTGGCAGCTGCACAGCTAATCAAATCTCCAATAGCGATAGAGTGTTGTTGGCCAAAAGCCCTACATGACCCTGCCCACTTCCTAGAAACACTTGGCAGGCACCGGAAAAGGTGTCAGCGGGTGCCGTGGTGCCTCCAGGCACCGCATTGCAGACCTCTGCTGTAGCATGTTTGTGACAGAACTGCCACAAGACCTCTCTCTATGTTGTTTCTTTTTCCACAAATCAGCTTTGATTTGAAACAATAAGGCAGGCAGCTGAGAATGTTCACAGCAAAAGCTATAAATGATTGCCCCTTGAACAAGCCATATATATGTTTTCTTAACAGTTAACAGCATTGGAACAAGATCCAGTGATCAGAAAGAACCATTCTAGAGACATTACTCTGGGAATAACTCGTATTCTGTGGGGTGAATGACATATTCTATGAGGTATTTAGTCTATAAATAGGGGTACAAAGAAGCTTGAAGTTGCACAAAAGTGAAGTTACAAACCAGTATGATTGTAATAACATTACTGAAGACCAGAGGTCATTTCGGGGGGGGGGGAACGCGGGGGAACGCAGTTCCCCAGGGTGAGGTGCAGGGGGCGGGGCACATGACGAAGCCCCGCCCCCTGCTTCCGGCCGCCCCGCTTCCAGCTCTCATTCAGCCAGGAGGAGGCAGGAGAAGAGGGAGGGTAAGTTACTTCCTCCCCGCCTCTCCCCACCCCTGCCTGCCTGGGGCCAGGGAGGGCCTTGGCGGAGCTTCCTCGCACTCCCGCTGGCCTTGCAGGTCCACCGCCGGGCCCCTGATGTCAGGGGGTGTGGCATATGCTAATGAGTTATGCTAATGAGTTCCCCTAGCTCTTTTTCTACGAAATGACCCCTGCTGAAGACTAAAACTCAGGCTTCTAGCGTCTTTTGAATGTTATTGATAGGATGAAGCCGTCAACTTTCTTACGAAAATCAAATGGACTTCTAAGTGCCTGGTGGTGGAAAGTGCCATCAGGTTGCAGCCAACCTATGGTGGCCCCATAAGAGTTTTCAAGGCAAGAGTCATTTAGAGGTGGTTTGCCATTGTCTGCCTCTGTGTAGCAACCCTAGACTGCCTTGCTCGTCTCCCATCCAAGTATTAACCCAGAGCCAACCCTGCTCTTTAGTGCCCAAGATCTGACAAGAGCAGGCTAGCCAGGGCCAAAGCTTAAAGTGGTTAACTGTAACTAAACCAACCTTGTAGTAATATTTTACTACCTACTCACTATATGTAACTGCAAGCAGCAAACTAAGGCATGTGACTACATCGATAATAAAGTTCACTTATAATAGTCTTTGAAACTGTAGCATATCGTGATTTTTTTAAAAAAACATTCCTGTTTAAGTGCTGGACAATACAGAATTTATGCATTGTGGGAGGTTCTGTGTAAAAATAAGCAAGTGGCCTCACACCAAGCATCTTGATTAGAGTGCTGACTCATAATTATGCCTAAACTGAATTTGCCTGTGCACAGCAGTAAGTGATTGCAAAAACGACCTCTGGACTCTGACTGAGCTACCAAACAACAGGATTCTCCTAGAAAGCGATGCCCATAGACAGGAATCATGGTAGTTTATACCTAAGTCTAGTCTGTTGTAAGTGGAGGTAAAGGTCAAAGAATGCAACCATACCATGTAATTATTATATAGAAAGTAGATTATTCATCTGAAAACACAAGGACTTAGTGGTTAAAATAGCTTTTATTCTTTGGAACAATGTCTACTGGTAAATGAAAAACTTAACTGGCACACCACCAAAGTCCATAAAGAAGGCAGATACCATTAAAGTAACAATTCCCAAACATATAAAATTAGAAGGCATATCGTCTAAACACAGGAGTACATTATTCAGTCACAATATAGTTAATAAGTTGTCTAGTCATATTAGACAATCAATAATACAAAAATGTTCAGTGGTCAGTATAAAACATATCCCAGTAAGTGGCTGTATGTATGTTGGAAGCACTAAACTGAACAACTGGGTATTATCAACTGGGTATTATCAGACATGCAGATGGTGTTGAGTGGACCACGGTACAATTCAGAAAGGGAAGTTTGTGGGCAGCCCTTCCCAAAACAGAGGCCACAGCTGCTGCTGTGCTTCCTATTGACAGGAGAAGGGAAGACCGGGATTCATTCCCCTGTCCTGCTAGAAAGCCAATTGGTGAAACTGCAGCATTTTAAAAAAAGCTAAACACCAATAGACCTGGCTGCTCCATGTACAGTCTGCTGGACTGAAGGCCAATAATTTTTCATCCTCATTCACCTGCCTTAGAACTGAATGTGGGAATTCAGAATACTGCTCAGATTTTTTCTACTAATACATTTTCTTTTATTTTAGCACTGTCATGAATGTTTAATAATGTCATAATATTGTTTAATAATAAAATTAGCCATTAAAACATGGGAAATAGTGTCTCAATATTGTACATTGAGGGTTCAGACGATGACAGATCAGTCAAAATCTCTGTTAGGCATCTCAGGCAAAGAATTAAATAATATTTACACTACAGCTTCAGAGTATCATCCCTGAGGTTTAGATTATACATAAATCAGTTCCTATCTACCATATGTTAATATGATTAACTCTCTCTTTATATACATATACACATACACCTTAAGTGTGTGTCATGTCTGACAGTGAAAGTGGTATATAAATATCCTATTACATGTAACATTTCACTTAATTTTGCCATCCTTTCTGTGTGTAGGATTGCAGCTCTGTGGACTGATTGGTATTTGAAAATACATTCAGTTGAACCCCATGTGGCACACATAAATCGACTCCACAGCGATCCACATTCCAGTGTATGCCTGGATGAACATTCGATTATGTCCTCATTCGCTGATTCAGCAAGAGACTGGCCCACACAAATATGCTTATGCATGCAAATCTCACTAGCTGAACCAGGGTGCAAGAGATCTGTCAAAATATCAAGTTGGGTCTGGCTCCGAATAATCAAGCAGCTGTACATAAGACATGTAAAAAAGAAGTACTCCAGACTTCCATTCATCCACGAAATATCCCTGACCACACATTGCTATTCCTGTCTTTTAAAAAATAAATAATTTTTCACTCTTCAAGTCCTGATCCGTTTGCAAGACACTGTGTGGTTTTCAGCAGAAAACCCATTTTCTTGCCTGCAGGCACTTCCATTGATATGGCTGATGCTCTCGCTGAGACTGTCTAGCTGAGAGCTTCCTTCCGTAGGCACCTACAGCAAATAGAGAAATCAACTGAGTAAGCAAATACTGGCATCAGTAGATATTGGAAGCATTATACATATACACAAGGCTGCCTTACACTGAGACAGACCCTTGGTAAATCAAGGTCAGTGTTGTCTACTCAGGCTGACAGCAGCTCCCCAGGGTCTCAGGTGGAGGTCTTTCACATCACCTACTATCTGAACCTTAACTGGAGATGATGGGGATGGATTGAACCTGTGACCTTCTGCATGTTAAGCAAATGTCCAACCACTGAGCCAGGGCCCCTCCTGAGTCACTGGGACACGACACAACCCTCACTCCTGTTTTAAACCTTGCAGCAGCTCATTAATTTATGAACTGCAATGTATGAACATGACTCTGGTCAGGAGGTTTCATCTTTTTGACTCTGCCAGAGTCATTGTGTAGTTTCCCCCCAAAAAAAATGCTGTCACAGACATAAACCTCTCAAACTTACTTTTCTTTTATATTGTGTGGTTGTAGGTAGTCTGTTTCTGGTCCTGATTCCAGTTGCTTCTTCTAGATCTATAACAGAAGAAAACAAAATAAATCCTCCACTAGATATGTAGTCGTAGTGCATTGTACTAGGAATGGTAGATTAATTCCATTAAAACTTCCTTTCAGACATTCAGTTGAACCCCATGTGGGACAGATAAATGGAATCCTCACTTCACAGCGATCCACATTCCAGTGTATGCCTGGATGAACATTCAATTATATCCTCATTCTCTGATTCAGCAAGAAAGAGCCCCGCACAAATATGCTTATGTATGCAGATATGCTTATGTATGCAGCTCTCACTAGCTGAACACATCTATAATGAACCTAAAGAGCTCCTCTGGGAGTTGTAAGTAATGAGAATATAAGAATTGCCTTTCTAGATCAGTCCAAGGCTGACCTAGTACAGTAATATGCCTCAACAGCATCCTGCTAGATGCCACTGGAAACCGACAGGCTGCTAGCTATGCAGTTGTGTTTGTCCTCCTCACCAGAAAAAGGTGCTTGTCACTTTAAATGTACTTTAAAGGCCTGAGCAGCCACTGAATTTTGTCCCATTCCTTCCTCAGTTCTCTGTCTACCTTCCTCTCTCTTAGAGTGTGTGTGTGGGGGGGGGGGCAAAATTAGATGCCTGCTTTGTACATGAGCTGGTAGGAATGGCTTGGGGTTGGATGCTTTGACTCCCTCCTGCTAAGTTGAATCCTATGATTCCAGTTCACCCAGATTTCCTCTAACAAAGAAAGTCATTAGAAAAGACTCTTCTTCATCCAAGGAAGCCTTTAGAAAAAATTGGAGGAAGACTTTCTCTACTGAGGGCCAAACAAGATACTACTGTGTCCCCAAATCCACTGTGAGGGTGTGGTGCCATTTTAGATCCTGTTCTTTAAAAAAACTTTTTAAAATCGCTGCACATTCCAGTGCGACTGGGGATCTCAGGGGAATGAGGTGCTCCTGTCTCCCTCTACCTCACTGTTTCCTCCATTTCAGCTCTTGAAAATGGAAATAAGCAGAAAGACAGCAGCCCCTCTTCCCTCCTGTGCCACAATTCCCAGCAGGATCAGGTCCCTGTAATGACTTTAACAAAAAAAACAGTTCTACAATGGCACGGGATCCCTGTGGCAGAACTTGGGGATGCACTGTCATTTTGTTGCCCAGCCTGGAAGAGTGTCATAGGAGCCAACCCTTGAAGTCCAGCAAGTTTGCTTACCTGCAAGGAGCTCATCAATCTGATCGACTACAAACTTTGCATCTTCCTTAGAGAAGCACATGGGTGGCTTAAATTTCAAGATGTTTCTGTAAGGCCCGTCAGCGCTCAAAAGAATTTTCCGTTCTTTCAGCCTGGATAGCAGGGAGAGAGAAAGGTCAATCTACTTTGGAATGCAGACACTAGAATACACACAGATGTGAAGTTATATGGCAGCTTTCTGTATAATGCTGTGCTTTATGAGCAAATTCATGCACTTTTTTGTATGGACTGGTATGGATTAACTGAAGGTTCTCAGTTTTGAGTTATGGCATGTTCGTTGATGCAATTTTTTAATTGAATGGTCAACATTTTCTTGATTTGATATGTTATGTGTTGGAATCATAGCCTAATTACATCAAATAAATTATCCATATCAGCAAAACCATAAGACCAAAAAATCAGCAGTGAGCCAAATCCTTCTGGATGCTCATATACTGTATATGAAGATTACCTCTTGCCAATGTGGCTTTTGCATTCTACAAAATGACTGACTACACATGCTGCACTGAGACATCTCATGTAACCATGGTTAAGGAAAGGGTGCACAAACCCTGGCTTGTTGCCAGGGTCTCATACTTCTCCTCCCCTCTCACACTAAGAATGTCACTTAAACATTAACTCCAGTTACCTGTGATATACAGATGCATTTGTCCACACAAATTAGCCAGAGTTAGCTTTCCCCACCACTAACTGGGATCCTCAACCACAGTGCAGTTTAAGTACAGAATCCCAGTTGGTGGGGGGCAAACTCTAGTTAACCTGGAGGGTAGATCTATTATAGTTCACTAGAGTTAACTTTTAACAATGATCCTCGGTGTGAAAATGGAGGAAAGAAGAGAAAGCACATTAGTGAGGCCAACAACAAGCTGGGTTCATTCACATTTTATTTAACTACGGCTATGTGGGACATCTACATGCAACCATAGCCTGAAACTGGGATTAAAAAGTCTTTGTCAACAATTCCTGGGTAAAGGTAATTAAATGGGAGAGCCATGGTGACATCTTAAATGACAGGCCCCTGCTTGGCCATGAATTTAAATTCCATCTTGGTAGTTGGTAAAGTCTAACCAACAAAAAGGATGTCTGGTAAAGTCTAACCAACAAAAAGGCACACGATATTTACTTGTAGATGATATGCTGAGCCTCAGCAGTGGCAGGTGTTCTCTTCTGCTGATCCTTCACTAGATCCACGCCAACAAACAAACCAACTCCTCTAGAATACGGAAGAATGGACAGGGAGAATACAGGGAGATCAGCAACCATCCAACATCAGTGTTTTGCAGGTGGCACACTGTTCCAAGAGTTCTGTGACCTAAAGCAAACTGCAAGCAACTGCTGCATTTCTCCCCTAGAGTATTTTTAAAGCACTGGCAGTCTCTCAGTGCTAACCTAATTCTCACCGACTCCAGGACATTACAATGCTCCTTCATACAAAAGAAAGAAAATTCTGCATGTAGAAAGGCATTTATTAAGAGAAAGAATTCTGGCCCATCCTCTTCCTTGACATGCTAGTTAAAAAGGATACAGCCTCTGTATAAGATCACATACTTAAAGAAAACTGTATGTTATGTGCCATCAAGTTGCTTCTAACTTATGTCTACCCTTTGAATTAATAACCTCCAAAACATCCTGTCATTAACAGTCCAGGCCTCCTTGACTGAGTCCATCCATCTCATGTTGGGTCCCTGCCGCCTTCAGCTTTTCCTAGCATTATTGTCTTTTTTCAAAGAGTGAGAAAACTTGGCCTAAGTTGTAAAGAAGAGCAGTTTATGCAGCTATAAACTCATTTTTGACTCCATAAGAAGTCAAACTTCACTAGGGATGCTGATACTAGATCAAAGTAAGGGACTCTGTAAAGACTTACGAACATTTGAAAAAATAGAGAATGCACATTATTATGCTTGTTCAACATAGTTCACTACTGTAGAGTGCCTCTATATGCACATCTTGTCTGCTTAAAGGACTGCAGAAAAGGGAGTTGGTAACATAGCTGTGTGGACTGGGCCAGTGTGGTATTGTGGGTTACAGGGTGGGACTAAGACCAGGGAACCCCAGGTTCAAATCCAACCAGCACCATAAAGTGCACCAGTTAATGCTGGGTCAGTCATTCTCTCAACCTAAGAGGGTTGTTGTTATGAAGATAGAATGTAGGAACTGCGTGAAGTCCTTTAAACTCCTTGAAAAAGGTCAGGATTACAAACAACAAAAACCCACAGATATAGTAGAGCACTTCCCTGACCTGGATGGGTCAGCCCTGGTTCGTATTTGGATGGGAAACCACCAAGGAAGTCCAAGAATGCTATGCAGAGCCAGGCAATGGCAAACCACCTCTGCATGTCTCTTGCCCTGAAACACCTTACAGGGTCGCAACAAGTCGGCTGTTCAGAACAGATATTTCGAAGCTCTGATGCACACCCAGATCATTCTTCCTTCAGGCTGTCCTGAATCATCCTTCCACGGAGCCTACCTGACATCTCCCACCAATGGATGTTTTTCCTTTTGTTCCTTCAGTAGCCCTGTGAGGTAATTCCCAACATCTGTGGCATTTCTTCGGAGATCTTCTTTTTCTATTACATCCAGTACAGCCAGACCAATTGCACAAGACACTGGATTACCTCCAAACTGCAAGAAAGAATGGGTAAGAAATCAGAACTGTTCTTTCAGCGATCTTACTCAGAGAATTTTATGCATGCAGTGAACACAACAGGGCTTAATATTTGTCTTTGTCAGGAAATAAATAATAAGTTTCATCTGGCACAAAATTACCACTTCTGTTAGAGGAAATGCAAGAAAAAGACCAGGGTAGCTGCTAATGTTAAGTCAAATTTACTGTATCCCGAATCAGTATGTTTCTGCTTGTGCAAGATCTTGTGTAACTGGCATCTGGGTGCTCCAATGGAGGAAAGTGCTAGGTCTTGTGCAAGCAGAACTGCACTAAGTCCATTTAGGTTTCCCTTGAAGAAGAATTGATTGGATTTATACCCCACTCTTCACTACCCGTAGGACTCAGAGCGGCTTACAATTTCCTTTCCCTCCCCACAACAGACACCCTGTGAGGTAGCTGGGGCTCACAGAGCTCTTTTGAGAACTGCTCCTGAGAGAACAGCTCTGAAAGAACTTGTAACTGACCCAAAGTCACACCAACAGCTGCATGAGGAGGAGCAGGGAATCAGACCCAACAGGTTGGATCCCATGAGTCCCAGCCATGCAGGAAGACTTAGCAGAAGGGAATCACCAAAACTATCCCAATATTATTTGCTTAAGCTGTAAATTTTCTATCAGATCCTCATTTAGGAATAAAAACTTTGTGTCTCTAAAAAGGAACTTCATCTTCAGTATTTAATCTATAGCAGCAACATGAATGCACATAATTTGCAGTGCCCTCCTAAGAAGAATTGCACCCTTAGAAGCCCATTAACTTCAATGGGTTAGAAGGGTGGATTGTTAATCTCTTGACACATGGATACTTCCTGATGAACATGTGGGTTTGCTTCAGTTAAAACACTACATTTTTAGTAGATATCAGGTAATATGAAATGTATTTCTGTCATGAGATATATGCTTGTGTGAATTAGCTGTTAATCTAGACCACTGGTTCCAAAAGTGGACAATAGCACCCCCTGAGGGTGCTGGAATGATCCAGGTGGGCGGTCGGAGCCTTGGGTGCAATTGGGGGGGTGCTGAATACAAATAAGGGGGTGGTGGAAGCATAAAGAAAGAAGAGTCTAGAACCTATCTAAAGCAGCCTTTTGGCGATAGGCCAAGTAAGTTTTGGAACCTATGATCTAGACATTACCACCATTTCGGGGAGTATTATGGTAATTTTAGAAGAGGCACTCACAGTGTTGAAGTATTCTAATCCAGAGGCACCAAAGGCTTCAGCAATCTGTCTTGTTGTCACTACACAGGACATTGGATGGCCATTGCCAATTGGCTTTCCCATAGTGACAATGTCAGGCACAAAATCTTCACCTTGTAGCTGGAATCCCCAGAAATGTTTCCCAACTCGACCGAAACCAACCTGGACTTCATCAGCGATGAACACACCACCTGCTTTGTGGATAGTTCTGGAAATACAAAGGAACAATCCAGATCCCTCACTGTGTTTTAAGGCTCTGTCATTTCTCACTTCAGCACAAAACCAAAAATAGGCAATACACGAAGACTCTGAACAGACCCACTATAGTGGAAACTAAGAAAAATATATTTAAGGAGAAACCTAATAGCCCTAGAGATACATTTAGCCAATCTGAATTTGCTGTACCAGTCCATAGAAAGATCTCTGTGAAGCTGAAACATCAAATGGAACCCATTTTCAGCCTGAGACTAACCCCCCAGCATTCTGACATGATACGACACTAGGAGTTTCACAGGGTAGCTGTGCTCATCTGCGGTAGAACAGCAAGATTTGAGTCCAGGGGCACCTCAGAGACCTGACGAAGGGAGCTTTTACTCTCAAAAGCTCATATCCTGAAAATCTTGTTCGTCTCTAAGGTGCTACTGGACTTGAATCTGGCAGCACTAGGACACTGTACTATGTGCGGTTCTTCTTTTAAGGCATGATCAGCTCCCAGTCACCGTGCAACAAGAAACCACAGTGTCTATTGCATATTTGGACTTCTTCAGATGACCCACTTCCATATGTATGCCTCTGTGGAACTGGATTGAATTGCATGCCAAAAGTCCACTCTTAGACGGGCTACTCTTTTGTTATTAGCTGATCTATATTTAATAAATGAATACACTTGAAACTAACAGCCGCTTAATATTTCAGTCAACATGGCTGAAAGGTGAAACATCTGTTTCCAAATCAGTATAGCCGGCCTGTAGCTTTAGACTTTTCCTGACTGAAACATTCTCCATGACCATCCTAAACCACTATTATTAGCCTCTTCCAAGTGCTATACATACTCTGCCACTTTCTGGAAGTAGCCTGCAGGTGGAATTACTTGGCCTCCGCAACTCTGCATGGACTCAGCAATAAAGGCGGCAATCTAGGTAAGAGAAGATGATATCAGAACAGTGGTCCTCCCCCTACTCTTGTGCAAATGAGGCAACACTAACAGGCAAGAATCCTTTTAAAACAGGTGATACAAGAACAATTGGGGTGGGCGGCTGTTATGTATCTTCCAGTCAACAGTCAGGGGTGCCCAATTCTTCAATGTTGGGGCAAGTGCCCAATTCAACACTAGTGATTGTTCGCGTAAAACCCTTTATTCTCCCAACCATGTTGGATCAGACCATCTAAGTTCAAAGGCATGTAAATCTCCACTTTACTCAAAACGCCTGTGCAGAATGGAAACAAGATCTGCTTCCAGTTCACCTGACAGACAGGAAGGTGAATTGCTTCAGTGGACTATTATTACTATCGTTCACGTATTGATATTTTAATTGGCAAAGCACTTCACAGTCCTTATTGGTTTCCACCCTACTTGACTTTCTGTGGTGACTCGTGTTTGCACTCCTTTTTTAGGTAAAAAGGGTAAAGAAAAGTAAGGCTAGGATTTTTAAGATATTCCGAGTCATACTTTGGGCACCCCTGCGTGAGAAAACAACTACACATAGTACAAAACAAGGCACCCGTCAAAAGAAAGAGACCTACAGCGGAAGAGATCCCTGTTGCTAGGAATGAAACAAAAAAAAATATTATTTTGAAACAGGAACTGATACCACCACAGCACAGAGACTGGAACATGAAGCTTACATTTTCCTCTCAGCAATATGCCTTTGTCCTCCCCCAAGTCTGCCTGGAGGGTCAGCCCCAAACTGTTATTTAACAGGCTGCCTCCCACTCTGTTTCTGCAACCCTCCCTGAGCATCAGCAGAGTCCACACGAGCTGGGCAGTGCGGTCTTCCTGGAAAGAAGGTCGAGCGTGTAAAGAAGCGAACACTACATTCGAGGAGGATACACTACAGCAAACAGGAGGAGGCTCCCAAAAGTCTGTGAAACGTTAGCAACTTGTCTGCCACACAGGTCTACGGCACCAAAACCTATGAAGAAAGGTATGCAAGAGGGGGGAGGAACAGAAGAAGGGGGAAAAATAGAAACTGACCGTTAGTTTCTTTTTAATCTCAGTAAGGAACTAAAGACAGGTGGTGGACTCCTTTGGACTTTAAGGAAAGGGGTAGAATTTTTTTTTTTTTTAATAGTGTAAGGTCTGAAAACATGAGCATCCATGAGAGCTGTATATGCACCAAAAATGATTATGCCTATGTTACCAACTATGTTTTTAATCTTCAATTAATTTTATTGTTAATATAACTTTTGCTTATGGGAATCTCCTGGAGTACTGGATTCTCTTCCTGCAGAAGGGCAACACTCTCAACAAATCAAATTACTAATACTTATTCTTTATATAAGTTATATATTAAGGTCTTTAACTTCACATCTCTCAGAGTGATTAATCATGATTATCCCCCATCTGAGCGACAGGGAACTGAGGCTGAAAGATATGGACTTGCACAGGACCTCCCTCCATATCTAGTGAACAGCTGTGATTTCGGCTGCAATCCTAAGAATATGTTCCTGGGAGTAAGCCCTATTGAATAAAATGAGCCTTCCTTTGAATCAACCTGCTTAGGATTGTTCCCTTAAGCTCACATCTCCTGGGGTCAATATATCCACCAGACCACACAGGTTTTATGTAATTTTGCTTTGCAATGGAAAAAATTCCACAAGAAATGTTGTCAAGTTTTATATATTCTTCCTCCAATATTTGTTACAGTTTGGAAACCTTGAAGCAATTACACTAAAGCGTGTGCCGCAGCATATTTTTCTCATAGCAGCAGAAGCTGTACATGACACAGTCTTGTGCCTGCATTTTTTGCTGTATGCATCTTCCATGGATGTCAATAGTTTTCTGACAGGCTCCTGACATCAAATAGGGAATCAAGCTTTAGATTTATTCAGTTGTCTTCTTCACACATATTCTTTGCGCTAGAGCTTATGGGAGTTATAAATGTGAATTAAGCAGGAGGGAAGTGCCTTAAAATCCAAGAATCCGATAAAAATGAAGGAAATTTCAATTATATAAAGCAGCTGCTTTCCCCTTCTAGGCAGAGACATTTTTTCAGGATAAAAATTGGACAGACTTTCAGGTTTCTCTACTGTTTGCAATATATACCTTGCGGCCGTTCTTCTGAGCTTCTTCAATTATCTTTTTCACATCATCAGCATAAGCACTTCCTGGATCTTGATGGTCCTCCCTGTACTTTCCTCTGTAGATATCTGGAGAAGGAGCCTAAAATGTACACATGAATGTATGAAACTGCCTCATAGCCAATCAGGCCTTTAGTCCCTCTAAGTCAGTATTCACTACAGACTGGCAGCATCACTCCAGGGTCTCAGGTAGAGGTCTGCTATTTGACCCTTTTAACTGGAGATAGCTGGGACCTTCTGCATGCCAAGCAGATGCTCCACCACTAAGCCAAGGTCCCTCTTCAGTAACGAGGGACCATTTCAGACCTTTGAAATCCTGGGCTATCCTCCTCTGAAGTTCTTTAAAAACTATGTGATGTGTGTTCCTAAAATATAAAATATACTTTCTACACAAATCTTGCCATAGCAAGTTAATAGCCAATTTGTGCATTATGGAAAAGGGGAAATCCTAAATTTTTAACATTTGTTTCTCAGATTACATTATTGGAGACCTTCCTAAAAATATGTATGTGGCTTTTTCAAAGAAGTGGCATAGAGGAGATGAAATGATACAGCACAAGGGCCATAATGACATATTGAGGTTCATATCATTATACACACATGCACAATGCTGAGGTCCTTCCCCTCCCCAAACCCTGCCCCTCCCCAGGCCCCACCCACCAAACCTCCAGGTGTTTCTCAGCCCAGAGCTGGCAACCCTGTCCATTCATTTTAGCATACACTATCCTGGATTTGGTCCATTTTATCAGACACATGAGATGGATCCTTAGCTGGCATTCATACATGTGCACATAAAATTATTAACCAAAGTGTTGAAAACAGCAGGCCAACAAAGCCATGAATTGCAAGAGGTACAGGGTGTGACATTGGGTTGGACACAGCCAGCTTTATCACTCATTCTTGCCCAATTCTCCTTGTTGCTACAGTTCTTAACGCACACTGCTTTTGTTCATGCAGGTCTCAGGATGGTCAGCATAGCCTTTTTGGATGATCAAAGGAGTTCCTCCCGCTTTTCTCACCAGCTGAAAAACTGGTCCCACCCAAGCCATTATTATGCAAAATTCAAATGTAATCAAGAACAGTACAGTGACTCCTCACAATAGCAATGATTGGTGATAGTTTTGTAACACTAATTAAGACCTGTAATGGCCGAGGAATCCCTGGGAGAATGGGGCACACTCAAGAGACTGCATTATCACCAGCTACTCCTATTGTGAATGGTCACAGTACCTGATTACACTTGATGTAACAAGATTTCTCTTATTCTTAGCTGTAACAGACTACCAAAGCCTATTGTTAAGTCTTTAAGGTGCCAGTGGATTTTATTTTATTTTGATATAACAGACACAGCTACCCCTCTGCAATTGTCTCTCTGTTGCAGCCAGCAAGTTGCAGCTGACTTTTGGCAGCCCCATAGGGTTTTCAATGCAAGAGATGAACCAAGGTGGTTTTGCCATGGCCTGTCTCTGTGTCGCGGCCCTTGGAGATCCCCATCCAATTACTAACCAGAGCTGACCCTGCTGAGCTTCTGAGATCTGATGAGATTGGGCTAGCCCTGGGCCACCCAGGTCAGGGCCTTCTGCAATTACCTCTCCAGAAACATCACTGGGTACTTCTTGCATTTCATGGCCTTATGACTCAGTAATTTACAATTTTTTCCTCCATGGCCAAAAATTTCTATCTGCCACCTGAGTATCCACACCACGCAGCTGATCAAACATGCAAGCTTATTAGTAGGGAGTCATGATGGGGACATTTCCTGGCCAACTCAGACCAGGCCTAGGCACACGGTTGCCATTCAGAACATGCTGCTGGCCAAGGAGCATTGTAGAAATGACCTCTATGTGTTTGCATCTATGCCGTACCCCGTGAATAGGAATGCATGCAAAAGCCCGCTAAAAGCATTTCTTTTGAGGGGTGGGTTGGTAAATGAATGGCCAATGCACTAATAAATAAGTTAAAAATAAGGGATACTCACCACATGTACAAACTCCTTTTTGCCCTCTTTTCCCAGCTGATTAAATTTATATGGACTGATGTCAATCAAAGAAGTTACATGGCCATGATAAGCACTGAAATGGGAGATAAACACAAAGTGAACCCAGGGTGTAAATCTTTCATGAAGTCTTCTGCTGCTGAACAACAACAGGCAGCTTTGCAAGGGGGAGAAAAACAAAATTTGACCTGAGGTGAAGCATTGGTCATGACAGTTCATCTGAAACCTTGCATGTCAACTTTCCAAATATAGTCTCTCTCTCTCTCTCTCTCTCTCCCCCCCCCCTGTATTTCACATACACGGCAGACTCAAAATACATGGTTCTCAATTTAAATTAAATGCAACAGTTCCTGTTGAACTGGTGAAATTAACACTAATATTTTAGCTTATCTAGCTAGAGATCCCAATGTGCAAACATGCACGTAAACACCTCCCTTAGACCCTCTGCTTAGGAAGGCACTGTTAGATGCACGAAGGGATGCAGCCTCTGTTAAAGTATATGGGGATTGTATTCCAACCAGGGAGGCTCCCCTTGGGCATCAGAGCAAGGCTCAGAGTGCCTGGCTCTAATGCGCATTATCCAGCTCCAATGTTGCTATCTGCTGATCTCATTCATACATTCGTCCTGCATACTTACTGGTCAAGAGTAATCACATCTTGATGGCCACTATACTGCCGAGCGAGGCGCAATGCCAGGTCATTGGCTTCAGACCTATAAAAGGACAAACTATTGTGAGAGGAGCAGTAGCCTTTTCAGACAAAGATCATTTTTTTACAGAAAAACAAACACCTAGAAGCAATTCCTAGAAATAATTTATACCATAGTTATACAGATTAGGATTCTATTTGATTCAGAGTTGAAGGATAGCAGAATTCTCTATTGCTATACAAAACAAGGAGCTGCTTCACATACTTGTACAGACTCACACACATCTGAAATACAGGCTTCACAGCTTGGCCTCTGTGTAATATGCCTATCGGAACATGTATGGAACTGTACAACATCTACAGTTGGGCATAAAATAATGTGTGAGGAACTTCGATTTGCTTCCCTTTCTATACATGATGTCCAATGCTCCCTCTAAGCTGTGGAGTCCTGTGTGCAAAAATTCTGCTTTGTGAGCTATCAGCATTAAAGTCGTGAGCGAGCGATTTGGCTACTACATAAATTAGTCTGCTCCGGAGCCGTCCTTCCTGAGCAAAGACAAAAATGTGTGAGCCAGAGGCTAAAAAACTGTGAGCGAGCTCACACTAACTCAACTTAGAGGGAACACTGATGATGTCTACTAAAGAAAACATGGGAGCATGCAGGTTGTGACCTAATGGTCCATGCATGGAGGGCTTCCCATTCTGTCCTGAAGGGAAATGAATCGGATACTCTGATGGTTCCCCACTGCTCATTCAAAGCATTCCCTGCTAAAAGAAGCAAATAGAGAAGAGAATTTGGAACACGCATTTGGAACTGTTGGGTGGTAGCAAGTAGCCTGACGCACAGAACCTCAAGAGTAGCAGGGGGCTGCATGGGCACTGTGGCATCTCCAGATAGAATTCAATAATTCACAAATTTAGGCTTACTCAGGCACTCAAAGCATGGATGCTGTTGCCCTCTTCACATGTTACTGTGAATGCACATACAGTCTATGTACAGTGTACATTTGGAAATTCTTTGTATGTGGGTTGAGCGATTTTGAATGTGTGATAAAAACCACACATTTATCCAGGTACTGGTCCTCAGCTTCATTTTTAAACTGAATGCACGTTGGCTGTTTCTTACAAACAGATATATACATGCACATGCAGAATGTATGTGCATTCATTGTAATGTGTAAAAAGGGCTTGTGTATGTTAAGGAGTGGGATCATACCACTGGCTCACATGTCTGTACATACGGCCAAACATCTCCACTAAGTTCTGCAAATGTACAGGAATAGGCTTTGCATACACAACTGGAAATGCTCCAAAACCTACACAAGTACACTTACATGCCCAGAGGCCTTACTGCAGATGTTCAGCTGTATGCATAGAATCTGGGGGTTGACCAGTGGTTTCAGTTCTGTTATCTTGTATGCATATAATGACCAAGTGCTCTGAATGCCTGAATATGACTCTTGTGGCTTCCATATCGACATATGCAGAGATGTGTAACCTTTGGAAGTATGTGTCTGGTTATCAAGCAACAAAATTTTCTGTACCCTGTACAGCAGATAGTCCTGCACACCATTTCTGTCTGCTGGACCAAAACAAGCATATGTTAAAAATGAAGAGCAGAAAGTGCTTTGATGGAGCTTGCAGCTACAATTGCAATGCAAAGAGTGACAAATTCCATGCCAGCTGTGCTGGTTCACACACACGTGTCTGTAGTTATGCCACATGGGATAGATCATCGAAATGAAGCGTCCCCTAGGCTTACCCAGAGTTCACAAAGTAGCAAACAGAAAGCTCTTCTGGCAAGGTAGCTGTGAGACGCTTGGCATACTCCACCAGATTGTCATGCAGGAATCGAGAATTGGTATTGAGCAATTCCATCTGCTTCACTGCTGCCTTGGTCACCTGTGGATGGCTGTGTCCCACTGAAAAGGACACAAAAGGGCATTTGTCATGGGATCCAACACAGAGAATCTGAAAACACACCAGCCAGCCAGCCAGCACCCTAGCCCATCAAAGCAGACTTTAAGCTAAACAGGTTCTTACCATGTGCTACGTTGTTAATGCAATCCAAATATTTCTCTCCATTCTCATCGAACATGTACTGCCCACGAGCATGCACAATCTTAATGGGGTCCTTAGCAAAGAAAACTTTGCACGATGGCCTGAAATGCACAGAATTATATCAGTTCACTGCCAGTCGAACAAACAGCTTTCCCTGAATGATTTGGTACTGGGCTACCTGCATAGATAGAAGAACACCTGAACTGCAGCTTACTCACTACTGTCTCGCAGGGGCTCCCCCACAACTCAGGAGATGCGTAGTCTGGGTCTCCCCCATGGTATGTTTCCTTGGAAGTAAGCCCTGTTGATGTACATGGAGCTTCTTCCTGTGTCGTTTTTCTTAACACTGAAGCTTGAAACCCATTTTACACCAGGACCTTTGTGGCTTGAAAACTCTACTAGCTAAAGGTTTGCATGTGAAAAAAACGCAGGGCACCACAGAGAAAGCTTCTCTATCAATTGACCTTAACTCAAATATTCCTTTGCAATGGAAACAAATTTCATATGCCCGTTTGTCAACCCTGCAGCCCTAAGCAGAGTTACCCTCATGTTAAGTCCACTGGCGCTCAAAGGCTTACAAGTGGGTAACTCTGTTTAGGACTGCACTCTGAGTGATCAGACAGAAAGTTGGATTCAGCAGAAAATTTCCACTGATGGAAGGGAAGCAGAATTGTCACCAGTTCCCCCTCCTGCTGCAAGCCCCCAGCTCTTCCCCTCATGTCTCCCAGGAGCAGCATTTCACGGGACGTTTGAAGCTGCTGGGGGGGGGCAACCATGTGTGAACTGGCCCAATCCCACTCCAGATGCTGGCTGCTGTTGTTGCCACAGTATTTGCTGCAGCACTTCAATCTGAATTTGAGGGACTGTCTTACATATACACATGAAACTGCCTTCAGCTCAATCAGATCACTGGTCCATTAGGGTGAGTATTGCCTACTCAGACTGGCAGTGGCTCTTCAGGGTCTCAGGCTGAGGTCTTTCACATCACCTACTGCCTGGACCTTTTTCACTGGAGATGCCAGGGATTGTACCTGGGACCTCCTACATGCCAAGCAGAGGCTCTTCCACTGAGCCACAGCCCAGCTTGGACAAAGCTGGGTATTTCTTTTCTCAACTAAGGACAGAACCTTAATCTGAGTCAATGCTCAGCCTTAAGAGCATTGTTTTTCGGTGTAAGTGGAATAAACAATTCAGTTCTCCTGGGCATGTGTAGAATGCCATTCCCTTACTACTGAAAAAAATCCAGTCAGAAAGGCTGAGGAATATTAACCAAGACACTGTTTGTGTATGCCAGGGGAGCCACAACATTTTCAGCCAGGCTGAAATGGCCCAGACCAGAACAACAAGTTTTAGAGTTGTGCAGAACTCTTTCTCCTCTGCAGGCCTGGTTTATATAACAAGCCAGTGTTGACTTGGTTATGCAAGGCTTGTGAGTACAGTGTCCTGACAGTTATACAATCTCACATGCCAACAGTCACACTGAACTCTTAGCTGGCAGCCTAAAGCCACACTCAGCATATGCACCTCTGGATAATTGGCTACACTTGTCTAAATTTCCTTAGGAAGGTCAAACACACAGATCCACCTGGCTGGCTGTTAATCTGACTATTTATACAGGGGGTTAGATAAGGGCAGAACAGTCCTATGCGGAAAGACAGGAAGAGGTTTGAGGGCTGCCAAATGGTCCTTCAGTTTCAAAGGCTGGGCTTTAAACCGCAGCTTCACAGAAGCCTCAGAGAATAGCCAGAAATGTGTGGGGGGGGGGGGGGGGGGGGGGGTTGGATTAGAATTGTTTTTGAAAGGGCCATGAGGTTATTGCTGTTTCATAGCAAGCTTGATTTTTTTTATACAGAGCAATCCGAAATAGACTTAACCCTTTTAAGTCTAGGCTAAAACTCTGCTTTCTTACTTTTTGGGAAACTTTGAAAAGCATTAATAAAAACATTAAAACATTGTATAGTTAACTAAAAACGGAAACAAAGTCCTATGCATACTTTCTAGGCAGTAAATCCTGGTAAATATCTACTGCCCTACTTTTTTATTGCAAGGGGAGAAATTCAAAATAAACATTCTTCACTACCAACCACAAAATATTTGTAATAGTCCTTTGTTATGGGACCACTCACAAAATATAACAACTGAGCGGATTTTTTTTTTTAAACCACCCCATTCTGTAAGGAACCTGAGGTTTGGAAGCACAGAACGTGTAAACATTTTTGGAGAGGGTGGATGATAAGTGCCGAACACTGAAATGACTCCTCTCTCTAATCTCTGTGTTTCTGGAGTCTTAGAGCTCGCCCGGAACACCCAGCCAGGTCTTTTTTTTAGCGATCTGGGCTGCTCGGCTGCCTACCCCCCTTTTGGCTCGCGGACTGTCCTACCAAGGGTGGATTTTGTCCCCTGCGTCAGGTTGCCCGCCGCCAGCTGGCTGCTGCAGCCGATGCGTTCCCTCGAGAGTGGGGGGGAGGGGGCCGCCCGGGCTGGCAGGGTCTTTCGGAAGCGGGATGCCCGAATGACTACCGGGAACGGTCCCGCAGGGGTCTTTCCTCCTGGGAGAACGAGGAGCCACTGGGGGGGGGGGGGGGGGGGGAAGGGCACGTCGTGCCACCTCACCCGATGTGCTTCCTCCGCAGCTCCAACGTCTCTGCCTTGCTGTACATCTCCGCCGTGAGGTTGGTTCCGGCCGCTCTGCCTGCCTGCAGCACTTGGATTTCGCTCTGACCCGGTGGCGGGAAGGTACATCTTCCTTTTATCCCGTGCCCGGCTCCGGCCACCTGCCAAGCCCCGCCTCTTGCTCGCTATGCCTCTGGGTGGCAACCCCGCCCTGGCCTGCCCGCCTCTCCCCGTCCCAGGCTTCGTCTGTCTGTCTGCCTCCTGGGACAGACACGACGAGGAAAGAGCCACGGTTTTGCACTCCGCGTTAGTTAATCCGGATTAAACACTCGGCGATTTCCCAGATCAAAATTATTACCGGGGATTTTTTTTAAATGTAAAAACTCGCATTACAGGGTAAAAGACCCCCCCCCCTGTTATAAGAAGGTGCTTTTTACTGACTCAGATCACCGGTCCATCTAGCTCAGCACCACTAAGTCTGGCTGGCAGGTAGACAGTTTCCCCAACACCAGTGACTTAAAATTCATCAAGTAGAGACGGCAAGGACTGAAGAAATCCCCTCTTCTATAAAACAAAGTTTGAGTCCAGCGGCACCTTTAAGAGCAACAAAGCTTAATTCTGTGTATAAGCTTTCCTGTGCAAGCACACTTCATCAGAATGACATTTTCACCAACTCCATTTATCCTTACAGCAACGCTGTTGGATAAGGTGTGCTGAGGGAGAACCAGTAGCCCAAGACCATCCAGAGAGCCTGGGGATTTGAGCCTGCATTATGCAGGTTTTCATCTGCCCATGAGATTTTGCCTCCTTGAATCTGCTGTCATACTTGATCCAGTTGTGACAAGAATCTTTTCCTATCTCAGCGAGTTGTCAAATAACGTTTAGTTCATTTAGAAAGAATGTGTGGGGGTGAAAAAAAAACAATCAGGGCTTGCAGGGCAAAAAAAAGAAAATGCTGCTGGTAGCCCGGATAGCAAAGGGAACTTTCAGGTCAGTAACACGTTGGGAAAAATATGTTTTTTTAAAGGGCACTGCTGCTTGCCATCAGCTTTGGGAGGCATCCACCTTTGCCATTGCCTTTCATGTCACCTACGGCCTGGTCCTTTCAAGTGGAGATGCCAGGGATTGTAACTGGGACCTTCTGCATTGCCAAGCAGAGGCTCTTCCACTGGGCCACAGCCCTTCCTCTGCAGAGTCGTCTTTGGTGGTCTCCCTTCCAAGTATTAACCCTGCTTAGCTTCCAAGAACTTAGGAGTTTGGACTATACCATACCATTCCATATCCCAAAATGATCAATTACCTTAAAATTAACAAAATCAGTGATTAACCTGTCACTGATAAGGCAATCCGCTTGCTGATTTAACACTACTTGTGCTCTGGCCTGAGGCTGGAAGCTGTTCTGTCTTCTGTTTTTGATTGCTTTGCCCATTCCTTTTCTTCAGGAAGTGGCCCTCCGCACCTCCTCTGATTGAATCCTTTCTTCTTTTGATCACATTTGTGCTATGCATAATGGTATGGCCCATCTGTCTCTTGTGTTCTTTGGCTTTGGTAGTCTCACTCTGTAAGTCCATGTTCTTTTTGATTCTTGTCATTTAAAGAGAATGTTCTTTCATCTTTTCACTTCTGGTGGTCAAACAGCTAAGGCCAGGCCTGTCAGCTCAGAATTCCTTCTCTTCAATCGCCTAGGCTTTGTGGGAAGTCCTTGATTTCATTATTGTTTACTCATGTTTTATCTTTTTCAGGGCTCTTGTATGATACAGCCTAACTGGCTTGCTGGTCATTTATATAATTTTATAGCCCCCTCCCCAAGTGCTTTGGGAGAGTAAAAGGTAAAGGCAAAGGTTCCCTTGCTCGAAAGCCAGTCAAGTCCGGCTCTAGGGTTGCGGTGCTCATCTCCGTTTCCAAGCTGAAGAGCCAGGGCTGTCCGAAGACGTTTCCGTGGTCATGTGGCCGGCATGACTAAACACCAAGACGCACGGAACGCTGTTACCGTCCCACCGAAGTGGTACCTATTTATCTACTTGCAATGTCTTGCTTTCGAACTGCTAGGTTCGCAGGAGCTGGAACTAGAGACGGGAGCTCACTCCATCATGCGGCACCCGGGTCTCGAACTGCTGAACTACCGACCTTCCACAGCCTGCAGTTCAGCGTCTTAACCACTTTGCAAATGATTTCATGATATTGATTAGATTCCATCCCCTGCACTCCTACATATTCCTTGTTACCAAGAGTGAATTTGAATAAAGAAAGGTATTACATTATTTCTGTGAGATAATCACCAGGTGAAAAAGAATAAAGAGGGACCTCTTATTGTTTAGCATGGGGCATGCTGACCTGCAGCACCACAATGTCTCAAAGAATGCCATTGGGGTGGCATTGCGAGCATGTTGTAGGTTAGTAAGTTGACACAAATATTCCAGTTACGATGCCAGTTACATTAAATGTAAGGGCTAAAGTCCAAGTTATATTGAAGATCTGTGAACGGTTTTTTTTGTCTCTAAAAAACATCTGGGGAGAGTTGATTCAGATGGTGCTAGGTAAGATAGGAGGAGATTTCCCTGTGTCAATTTTTTTTTTTTTGCCTGTCTTTCCCCCCTGCCAGGGCAACTATAGCCTGGGCTGCTGATCAGGGAAATGTTGTGGTAGGAAGAGTTAATCTTTTTCTTGCCCACTGCCTTCCTTGATCTGAATCAGCTCTCCTCAGCTGCTGCTTAATGCAAACAACAAAACCCATTGCAGTAAAGCCTACCTTCATTAGCGTGCCCATCTTTGAAAGTTACCATGTATAATGGATTAGGACTATTTTGGCCCCTGCCACACGGGAAAAAAGAACGGCCGAAGTGTGGCTTTTTAAAGCCGCACCAAAAGAGACATGCGGCGGGGGGGGGGGGGGAGCCACTGCAGGGAGAGCAAGGCAGCCGAACTGTGCATGTGTGCGCGTGCGTGTGTGCAGTTCGGTTGGGAGCCTCAATTGCTCCTGCAGACGGGCGCGCCAGCGATCTCACGGCCGCACTTGCTGCACCATTCCAGGTTGGTGCTACCTTTTACTTGGGTTTTTTTTTTTTTTTTTGCAGTGGGTTTTAGGCCGGAAGGGACGGATCAGGGATGGGTGCACGCCGATTCCCAGATGTTGTGGTGTGCTCGCGCCCGTTTCCTGCGCCCCCGATCCGTCCCTCTTCCGGCCCAAAACCTCCCATGTGACCGGGGCCTTTGATTACCTTTTTGAATGATTGCAATCTATGATGAATGAGTGCACGGAAGACACAGCTTGTTTACCTGACTGCGTTCAGAAGAAGTAATTATGAAACGGAAACGTACTCTGGGGAATTTCATCACTCTGGGGAATTTTGTCAACACTTCCACGTCTTCTTATAACTCCTTAATAAGGATTTTTTGCATAATACGTACCTTTTGTTATACTGTCATTGTAGCGCTTTGTGTGGCAGCTTCTTTGCAATTCTGATAGTTTGACCCTAAACCAGTTTCATATAATTATGAAAAGCAACTGAAAAGATGCATCAGATACACATGACTGACAGTGCCATCCTATTGTTAATGACCTACAACCCATGCTGTATAGTGACACTTCCCTCACACAGGTACTGGGGGACTGACCTTTTCTCACTTACAGACAGCCTGCTAACCTAAAACAACTTCTTAATCTTACCTGCAATTATAAACTACTTAAGAGTAACATGGACTCTGGTACCAAGGCCTGCAACAAATCAAGATGCCAACTTTGCTCTCATATAGATCCTAACAATACCATCAGTGGACCCAGCAACTTCAGCCCGACCATCTAAGGTTCATACTCCTGCTCATCTTCTAATGTGATTTATGCCATCACGTGTCAGCAATGCCCTTCCACCATCTACGTTGGACAAACAGATCAGTCCCTACAACAAAGAATAAATTGACATAAATCTGACATTAGAAACCACAATGTTCAAAAACCAGTGGAGGAACATTTTAACCTTCCAGGACATTCAGTTGCTGATCTAGGGTCCCGTTCACACTGGCCAGAGAACGCAAGGGGGAGGTGTGGCTTTTCGCTGCGCTGCACTTATGACCCAGCCGAACGCAATCAGACGTGATGGCAGGGAATTGGGGGTAGCAGTTTGTCGGCGCACATTTCCAGCGCGCTTCATGCGGTGCTGGAGCGATCAGACAGAGGACATCCATCTGTGGCCTGTCGCAAGCATAAAATAGTGGCGTTTCTGTGGTAGCTTTTAACTCTGGATCTTCGGTGGGATGCGACGGCTTGCCAACAGGTGCGCGATGCTTGCCAGATGTGCTTGTGTGATTGCACCCGTTAAATCCGCCCGGCATCCGTGAGTATCCCACAGCAACTTCTGTGTGTGATCGGAGCCTAAGAGTAGTAGTTCTCTTACAATGGAATTTCAAAGAGAGACTGCTGAATTGCAACTGATAATAAAGCTCAAGACTGTGCATGCCTCTTGGACTGAATCAATACCTAGGTTTCCTGTCTCATTACCATTTCTGATTTCTCCATGCCTACTATCTGTCTGCATATCACACCTAGTCCAATGACATCTGCTATTGTCATTTGCCTGCTATTGTCATTTGGTATCTGAAATCACTCCCCTCTCCAAGATACAAGGACAGATGGACTCACATTCTAACTGTGACTCATGAAAGCCACAAGTTTTGTTAGTCTTTAAGGTGCTACAGGACTTGCTCTTTTCTAGTGCCATCCTAAACAGAGTTATACCGTTCTAAACCCATTGAAGTCAATGGGTTTAGAAGAGTGTAACTCTGTTTAAGATGGCATTGCGAAACCATAGTTCTGTCTGCCTGGATTAAGTATGACTGTAATAGAAAGACATTTGGCCCCATTTAAATGATAGTGTTAATCTGGGTGTGATTTTGATTTGTCAAAAATGCCAGTGTATGGGTGAATTTTAATCTGTGAACACATTACTTTAAGGTTTCTACTTTAAGGCCCTCAAAAGGGAAGTATTACTACATTTCTGAGATCCGGAAGAAACAAACTGACTCAGTAAAGTGGGAAATGGCAATCCCAAACAGCCGCAGAAAAACATCACAAGCCCTCCAACAAAGATTACCTCAGGGCCCTGCTCACACCACCCAGACAACTCT